GGGGATGGTCGTACTGACGGCAGGTCAAAAGGTCCCTGGTCCCAAGGTTGTCTCGGTTAACGAGGAGACAAAAGGGACCAAGCCCCGAGGTATCCTCTGTTCGGCACAGCCGAGCTCAGGTTGGGTGGGGGAAGGAGCGAGCTCGCAAGTTCAAAGAAACGACGAGGGCAGTAAGATTAAACACAAAAGAGAGGCATAGCACATCCGTACGAATCATCGAGTCATAACATATCCGAATTCAACAAAAAAAAAGAACAAAGTCTTGAGCATCAGTACATCAAATACAATAAAGTTTCAAGTCATTTCACTCGGCACTCGGCTGCTCGCCGGCTGAGTTCCCGCCATTCGGGTAGTAGATGGAAGTGTAGAGCTCATCAGGATTATCGCATGGCTCGGGGAAGTCCTCCCCGGCGAGGAACCTATCCGAGAGGACTTGCTGCGCTCGAAACAGACCGAGGTTGTACCACGACGTTCCTTCGGAGCGGGCGAATGCCTTGCCCTCAGGAGTCTGCCCCAATGCCTTGAGCAAATCATTCATGCGAGTGAAGGTTTCCTTCTGAAATGCAAGCGATGCTAGGAACTCGGCAACGGCTTGATCGCGAGCCTCCTGGCGCGCCTTGCGACCAGCCTCCTCCGCGAGTTGCTGAGCCCGCTCCTCGGCCTGGCAAGCTTGTTCTTTGGCCGCCTTCAAGGCCTCATTGAGGTCGGCTATCTCAACATAAGTGCTACTCCGGTCGTCCTCACTGGCGCGCATCCGCTGACTCATGTCGACCATGCGCATCATCGCCTGCAAATAACAAAGGGTTGAGCACCACAGATGAATTATATTTGTAAGGTGCAATAAGGGAAACTTACCGAGCCCAGCTCATGGAAGGTATCTGAGGCCAGAGTCTCCTGGTCAATATCTTTTAGCTTGGCACGATTGGTTGGAGGAGTAAAGCTGCGCAGGAAGGTCTCTAGGTCGTAATCCCGGTCTAGGAAGGAGACCCGAGCGGGGAAGGCCGCCTTGACATATTTGGGATGGCCGAAGTCCTTCATCATGGGGGACTCCGACCCCTGCAAAGCGTCGGCGGCCGAGGCCGTTTCCTTCCTTTTTTTCTTCTGTGTCGTTTTGGGTGTCGGCTTCACGGGGGGAGCCGGGGGACAGCCGCCCGTGGGAGGAGCCTGGGAGTTGCCGCTCGGAGCGTCCGGGAACATGAGCTTCATCCGCTCAGCGCTGGAAAGCATGATTTCACCTGCACAAAACCAAAGAAGACAAGTGGTGAGGGAAGGACAACTGCGAGAAGGAGCGGGAATCCGGAAGTGGCGACGCACGAACGGTCGAGCGTAAGAGTGCACTGACCTGAGGGGCCTTCTTCGATGTTCCTCTGGGTATCCTTCGGGGATAGGAAGACGAAGCAGAGTGCCGCTAGTGCCTCATTCGTCACCACCGAGCCGACTTCGAAGGGCCCCCCTTGGCAGAGCGTCTCTACGTCTTCGAGCATCTTATCCGAGGTGACACACGCGGAGCGGCGTCGAAAGGAACTGAGGGGCTCTTTACGAAAAGGGGAGCCCGAGGAGAGAGAAACAAAGATGAACTTCCCCTTCCAACTCTTGGCGAAGTCCTTCCTCGTTTTGAAAAGCCTCTCCTGCCTCTGGAAGATAGAGTCGTACGAACCCGAGTCGGAGTTGGCCCGACCAGATGACTTCACCAACCGGAAGAGCAACAGGAAACGAGCCAGATCGGGGCGAACCCCGGTCCCTTGGCAACGGACGAGGAACCCGACCAAGTAACGATGGGATTTGGGCACGACTTGGCAAGGGAGAAGATCAAAATGTTGGAAAAACTCTAGGACCAACTGATGGAGGGGGAAACGAAACCCGTACTCGAGGGATTTGAGGTGGACAGCGAAGAAACCCGAAAAAGCATCAAAGACTGACTGCTCGGGGGTGGGACGACGCACGGTCACACCCGGCACCGAAGCCAGGCGCTTCGACTTGCGGAATTCCTCAGCCGTGAGGGTGCACTTCCGCGCTCGGATCCCCGAGTCCTCCAGGGCAGTGCGCCTCTAGTTGCGAGGCTCGGACTGAAGAGGGATCTCAACCGCCTCTACTATCTCCTCAATGGAGGTCGAGCGGGAGTCGCTTTCCTGGGCAGAGCCTGTGACGGAACCCTCGTCGCCGCGTTCGGACGCGGACCAACGAAAGACTGAGGATTGGGAAGACATAGAAGAGCAAGGCCGAAGAGGACTAACCTAGTACGGAGCCGGAGAACGGACGAGGATGGCAGCGAGAAGACTAGCGACGGCAAAGAATCTTACTCTCTCTCTCTAAAAGTGGGGAATGAGATGAGTAGGGTGGGTATTTATAGAGGAAAGGTTGAGTGGGTGCAATGATGGGCCGCCACTTGGCCTAGGGCGACGAAACGACGCACCCCTTCATGATGGCGAAGCCCAAACGGCACCAGTGACCTGCCAACTACTCCACGTGGACCCCGCGCCGCTCTCCTACAGTGCCCATACTCTCCTGTGTCCCATCGCTGACTGCAACGAAACCCGGAGAGTGGGGGGCTTATGATAGAGGACAGCCCCAAAAGACACGCCATCCGGTACCCATCAGCCACGTGGAGGATCTTCCCTGCTCGGCCCATGAACTCGGCTCGCTCTATGGGCTCGGCTTGGGTAGCAGGCTCGGCTGGGGACCATGATAGCGACCGGCCGCGTTGACTGCGCGACAGCGACGGGATGAAAGGGACAACGCATAACAGGGATGACGTCCGCTAGGCGACGAACCTCGATCAGAGAAACTTTGACTATGTGTATTGTATCCCCTATAAAAGGGGTGAGACCCCTCATTGTAATGGATCCAAGTTCGAAACGAATAAACTCCTACTTTGCTCTTTCTCTCTCTCTCTCTAAACCTTATATTATTCTTCATTCTCGGTGGTTCTTGACCATCAGTATATCTCAGAGATCTTCTAGATACCGTTTAACAATACAAATCGTTTAATAATTATCAATATATTCATTACTCTCATGGCTGAATCATAAATAATCATTTTGATCAGTTAGTTCATTATTCATGATCATCCATAATAATCATTCATCATAATCATTAATCAACATAACAATTGATAACAAATAGCGGTCTAGTTTTGAGTGTTCACACTCTAACTTACCGTCATGCATCACATAATGTTTTATATGCCTAAAACATCATTTTTATTATACAAAATCATATTTGTATTGTTCATAATTAATTGTTATCAAAAATAGGATTTTAGAGCATATTTTCAGGAATATTTTCGTAGCAGGATCTGGAATTGAGGAAAATAATTTAAAATAACCATTTAATTTATAAAAATTGATTTATATAATTTTAAATAATCCATTAATTCATAATAATCGATTTTTACAATTTAAATAATCAATTAATTCATTATAATCGATTTTTACAATTTAAATAATCAATTAATTAATTTTAATCGATTTTTACAATATAAATAATCGATTAATTCATAAAAAAATCGATTTTTACAATTTAAATAATCTATTAATTCATAATAATCGATTTTTACAATTTAAATAATCCATTAATTAATTTTAATTGATTTTTACAATATAAATAATCGATTAATTCATAAAAAATCGATTTTTACAATTTAAATAATCCATTAATTCATAATAATCGATTTTTACAATTTAAATAATCAATTAATTCATAATAATCGATTTTTACAATTTAAATAATCAATTAATTCATCATAATCGATTTTTACAATATAAATAATCAATTAATTCATAATAATCGATTTTTACAACATAAATAATCGATTAAATGGTACTGACTTCGAACCACTGATCTGAATAAAATTCTAATCGATTTTTAGTAAGTAAATAATCGATTTTCGGCCACTGTTCATCATCTTCTTCCTCGGGTCAGTTTTAACATTATCATTTTTAATCACCAAACTTCAATTTAATTATATAAAAATGTTCTCCAATGTTCACAGATCATTTTAGAGTCATTAATTCGTAATTTTAACAACAATTTCATGGTTTATGATTCTTGGTTCTTCAAACATGTCAAACACAAAACTCAACCAAACGACCGTTTATGAACGTAGAAAC